TGGTAAGAATAGAAGAACCCTTTTAGGTGCTATATAGAAACATTTTCACCACCATTGCCTTCACCATTGCTTTACTAAAGAACCCTAGAAGAACCCTCTTTTTAAGTGTGTTCTTAAACCATTTTCAAAAAGTTTCTATAAAGAACCATATACAACACATTCTCCATCAATCTGAAGAACAGTTTCACTATGTAAAGAACCCTGTAAGCATGCATATGGTTCTTTGGGTGTTCATGGTTCTATGTAGAACCAGTCTCTTTGCTAAAGAACCCTTGAAGAACCGTCTTTTTTATGAGTGTATGGTAGGCTGCAGTCTCTCCAGTGTGTCTGTACTGAAAGAGTTTGCACCCGGCTTGGCCTGCAGAGCCTCTGAACCCGTTCCGCTCACAGCTTAATGAAAGTTTGAGCTGCTAGAACCTGAAAGAAGATCACATACATCCACCTACAGTTCTCTAACAGCTTCACCACCAACTCACAGCTTTCCGTCTCCTAAAGAAGGCTTAGGTTTTATAATGCCTCCTACAGAATTTCGAAAATGATAAAAGGCTAATCATACTCAGTCACTCTCAGCCCCTAATTTAACAGTCAGGATTTTCATACAGAGCTCAGTTTTTTTGTCTTAAGAACATACAGATACACTGCGAGAACCAAAGCGGTAACACTTCCTATGAATGCTGTGTTCTTAGTGTTTTATAAGTGCATTTATAAGACATTATATGGCATATATAATAACTTGTAATACCTGGCATAAAGCTGTATAATTGCTCTTAAGTAGTTACATGCATAACAGTTTATAGAGCAATATATGACTTTATATATGACTTTATAAAGTCAGCTAAAAATAAATGATTCTATCAAATTCACACTACATATAAAAGCCCTTAAATGGCCAGAATAGCTCAGCCAGTTTGCACTGGAGTCCCTGTAGTTACTGAATAATAAGCTCTAGAATGTATTAAGTCACCCCAGTGTGCAAAAAACAGCTAATAAAAAATATTACCATAGTATTTGATATGTACCCCACTGATCCCCCATAGTGTTCTGCATATGACACGCAGTCAATGCTGCATAACCACATTGTAGAACTGCAGCTACACACGGGCTGAAAGAACTCTGTGCTGGACGGTGGATAAAAGCAGAACGTACTCGCAAAAGGGTTAAGAGTGAAATGAGCGAAAGCAGATGATGGAGAGCGTCCCCCTCATCTGAGGGTAGAGAGCTCAGGAGAAACCCCTCCCTGTGCTGGGTGAGGAGGTGATGACCTGTGGAGCGAAGGGTAATGGGTCACATCTCCCTGACCCGAATCAACCAGTAAAACCCACTCGAGCCAGCCGAGCCCGTAAACTGAGATCACCCCGCTCCAGTTAAACCCACCGGGGAGGCCGTCCCTGCAGGCCTCGCTCTGACTCCACTGCACTGCCTGCCTTGAAGAACAGCTTACTTAAACACACACACACGCACACACACACACACACACACACACACACACTCAGAAAGTGTGTGTGTTCGTCTGTGCTGGTATGTTTGTGTGTGAGAAAGAGAGGGAGGAATAGAGAGATAGAAAGTGACTACATGCGCTTGTGAGCGAGAGAGCTAGTGTAAGAGGAGGAGTGAGAGAGAGAGAGAGGGAGAATAAGAGAGGGGAGGGGAGGGGGGAGGAGGAGGAGGAGGAGGAGGAGGGGGGGTGGCTTGTGGGCGTTGATACTACCCATGAGGCCACTTAATGGGCAGTTTGGAATGCAGGGAAAAGACTCAGCTGCCCTCTCCATGGGATTCTGTGTCTTTGAAAAAAAGAGAGAGAGCTGACAGAAAGAGAGAGAGAGAGAGAGAGAGCTGACAGAGGGGAAGAGAGAGAGCTGACAGGCAGAGAGGGTATGAGGGAGAGGAGAGAGAAAGGGAGAGTGAGAGTGAGAGAGAGGGGAGAGAGAGAGAGAGAGAGAGAGAGAGAGAGAGAGAGAGAGCATTTGTGGGAAATCCTCATCCATCTGCTGCTGGGAAGTTGAAGGTTTGCCTGTTTTATTTCTCAGGTTGGACACAGTGCAGGCGCAGGGCCTCGTCTCCGCTTGTGTGTGTGTGTGTGTGTGTGTGTGTGTGTGTGTGTGTGTGTGTGTGTAAGAGTGTATATGTATTTGTTTTTAGGACAGAAAACAGGGCTAACCTACAATGTCAGGTCCAACAAAACAGTCCTGACTTTGTAAAGTGCTTTTTGCAAAAGCAACATGTTGTTTCTTTAACGTGAAACGGCAAACCAATCATTTTCCTTACTGAGGCCAAGTTTAGAGTTACGTTTAGGGTTTGATTTAGAAAATTATTATTTCATATTGTACTTATATACATCATCACTGTCCAAAAAAACAGAATCTCCAGTTTTTTTTTATTTTTGTTTTGTACATAGTTTGAGCTCAGCGGCTGCCCTTTACATGGTGTGAAAATATATGATGAATGGACCAATAGAAATGCTCCAAAATGGCTTCAAATAAAATCTCTTTACATTAACTTA